TGAAGATTTCATGTTCTTTAACCAGTTGCTTTTATATAAATTATAGGGCCTCAGATTTAAAGCCTAGGCAGAGGCATGCGTAATTTTTAATATGTGTGGTATATAATACAAAATAAAGTCTGGAAGCACCTGTTATGTCACAAAATTTTTTCTGGGGAGGTGCCACACATATGTCTACTCAACCCAGATAGGGAGCCCATGACAGATCAAAGTACGAGTATCACCACAGTCCAGCTTGGTGAAACCAAGGAGTTTTTTTGGGGTTACTTACAAGAAGAGTTACTGACAGGAGCAGAAATAGCTCAAAGACAGCTGCACCAACAAAGCCCACAGCAGTAGAGGTGGCAGCCCACAAAATCTGGGAATTCTGAGCACATCTAAACCTGTTCCGGGCAGCTTGGCCGCTCTCTGCTTCTTCCAGGAAGCTGATCTGCTCTCAGAGCCTTCTTTGCCGCTTGGCTTGTCTGAGAGTGACGCTCGGCAGCTTCATTGCTTACCCTGAGAGGACGGGGCCTGGAGAATCTGGTCAGTTTCAGGGACTTCTTGAAGCTATTTTGAATTGTTTACTTCTGCTTAAATACCCTCCCTGCAAAAGAGCCTCCCTGCAGGATGGAATGTTTTCATCTGGGAGGAAACTGTTTTACAACACCCACTTCAAGGAGTAATATCTTTGTTATACAGGCATCTGTATAGAGATAGCGTTTTGTTTGTTTCTTTTATTTTTTGGTTTGTTTTTTAATTTTTTGGAGAGATGCATTCGAAGCCTGAACTAAACTCTACCAGTAAGCTATGGAAACATCTCCAAGTCTTAGTTTTCTTGTCTGTAAAATGGGTATAGTGCCTCAGTTCCCCTTTTCTGTAAAATAGTGATAATAAACAGTATCCACTTCACAGGATTGTAATGAATGTTAGATGAAAGGTAATGAAGTGTTTGACACTGTTTCTACTACATGTAAGGATGTGTAATTTGTTTGTATTAAATGGCCCATAAATTTTAACAAATACAGACACAGAACACTTACATCAGCCAATAATCATTATTTTAAAAATCAGAACACTAGCGTCTTACTCCACCACTACAAAGAGAAGTCACGGAACCATGTGGATGCAGTGGCAGGAGAGGGGACCTGGAGAAGGGTCGTGCGCACCGCACACTGCCGCGTCTGCCTGTGCAGCTGCAAGGCCGTCCACCTCCAGTCACCGCACCTTGCTCAGCTGTGTGCGTGCATGCGTGTGTATGTGGGTGCGTGCGTGTGTGTGTGCATGCATGTGTACGTGTGTGTGCGTGCGTGCGTGTGTGTGTGTGTGTGTGTGTGTGTGTGTGTGGTGCGCACCGCACACTGCCGCATCTGCCTGTGCAGCTGCAAGCCCGTCCACCTCTAGTCACCGCACCTTGCTCAGCTGTGTGTGTGCGCGTGTGTGCATGCGTGTGTGTGTGTGTGTGTGTGTGCGTGTGTGTGTGTGACAATTCCCCAGTGATCCATGTATTTGTAGGGGATCTGTTCTATCCTTGGCTTCAGGCTTGTCACTCCTACAATTTTAGGAAGGAAAATCTCTTGTGGATAATTCCTTTTGTAGTACCAGGGCAGATGAATCCAGGACCTTAAAAATATACAAGGCAAGTACTTCAAATTGAGCTACAGCACCAGCACCCTCCAGCCTCCATTTAAAAGATTTGAGAGAGGGCTTCAGTAATTTACTTAAGCAGTCCATGAGTTCATTCTGGCCTTGAACTCCAGATCATACTCAGCATGCCGAGATTATAGCCTGCTTCACTTAAAGCTAATTTTCTGAATACAACTTGAAGCTGAGAGAGTCCCTAGAAAGTGCAGCCACAGAGTGGCTGGGGAGAACTCAGCGGAAAGGGCTTGATTGGAGTGATAGAGTCTGTGTCCCATCCACACCAGCACCATTACCAACCCTCATTACCATCACCATTACCACCACCACCATAACCATAACCACCGAAACACAAACAAATGAACCACCAAATGAACCCCACAGCAACAGAGGTTCAGCTCTAGGGTCAGAGGTGCTCTGTGCTGGTGTCGTTTCTCTTTTTCACGTGAAAGTCATTGCTGACCTTAACATCTCTCATCTATTTTCATTTCTTTATTACCTGTGCATCCCTCCTGTTGGCAAACACGTCTCTTTGAAGCCCCCTTCCTTGTGGGGCCTGCCTTCTAAGATTTACAAGCATACCCTCTACATACAAATTTTGTATTCAGTATCCCTGTATTCACATTACTGCCAGAAGAGTAGGGAGTCATTTGCCAGGACTCTAGATTGAGTTTACAGGACTCTTGTCCATTATCTACACACTTACATATTTGCGAGTGGCTGTCACCAAGACTTAGGAGCTGCTCTTGCTGCAAGTACCAACTCTTCATTTGGGCTTGCAGAAGCTCAGAAGGGCCCAAAGGCAAGTGTAAACAGAATGAAAGTTATCTCCACTTCCATCCTGCGCCCATCCCCTTGCTGTTGCTTCCCTTCTGGGCTGGTTGGGACCAGCAGGTCTAAGGAGAAGCATTTTGTGGCAGGAGTTGTGGATACCTCCTGGCAACAGCGATTTACTTAATGCCTGAGATAAGGATCAAGAAGAACACAGTTCACTCAAGGCTGTTTGTTTAACTATGTATGGGTCCTGTTTTCTGCCTCGCTCTTTCTCTGTCATCGAAGCGTTCATGCCAGGACCTCTGCAGACAGGGCTGCTCCTCCTTATCCTGGGTATAGCTATTTTTTCTTTCTCCCCATCATCTTCTCTATGTATTTATTTTTTTGGGTGGGGCGCTGACTGTTAGGGCTTGCTTTAGACCTGTAGCCTAGGACTCCTGTAACACGACCATATTAATTTATATGCTTGTTAGTATATTCGTGCTACACACACTGGTTAGGCATGTAATCTGGTTCAAGCTACACAGCACACTGTAGACATCAATTACATGTCAAAAAGTATAACAGTGCTTAGCACAAACTGAACAAATGGAAGTGAATGTATCACTTATTTACACGCATGTGTACTGTTGAATGCATATTTGCTCAACATTTCTCAAGAAGATTAAACCAATAATAATAATGTATCTCATTTTGTTCCATTCATTTAACATTTCTTAAATACTACACGATATGCCAGGCATACCATGGCAGAATGGTCTTATGAGAATGGCCAGGACACTGTTTCCTGCTCTTAGCATTCTCCCTTCTAGATGTACAGTTGGAGCCCCTCCGTTTTCATTGGTGGGAACTTGTGACTGACTTGCTTACAGCCAATGAAGGCAGTCCAAGTGTACGCCATTCGTGGTAAGGTCACTAAAGGTGACGGTTTCTCCTTGTTTGCTGAATTCTCTGAGGAAATGTAAATAAGTCCAGGTGATGAACACTGCTCCAGGGTCTGTCACTGACTCTCATCACCGAAGAGACCCCAAGATGAATTGGTAGCGTCTTCACAGGGGTGATCAATGTCTTACAGCATGAAAGTTTTGTGTGGCCCATTATGTAGCAATAGATAATCAGAGTACCTACCTTTAGGTACCCAAGATAAGCCTTATAAACAGATTTACTTTCATGAAATTTCCATTCCAGGTTTTTTTCTCATCCATAGCATGGGAGGAATGACTATTCTCAGGGTCTAATTACCTATCGTTTATCTGCTATCTGGGCCTGTTGACTGGCTTTGTTGATACAAATTATGAAATTGATCATATTCATTCGTTCAATAAATACATCAATTAATTTCCCACACAAGGGCTCCTTTTCTGACACTTTTGGGTTTGAAACTCTTCACCATTGTTTCCAAGCATCTAGGGCTTCCATCCTAACAGCAGGCAACAAAGCTATTCCTTGGTTGTCTCTTTCCTTTAGAACAGAAACAGTCAAGTTCTTTCTGGGTTCCTGGTTCTATCTATCAGGAGTTAGTCCTGTGCCTACAGGAGCAGACCGCTTCAAAATACAAAGATGCAACTAACAAGTTACTGGACACTGAAATAATCTAGCCAAAGACAGTCCCTATTCTCTAGAGTTCACCATTCAGTTCTAGACACCAAGACCCAGCCTGCCAAACGCACTGAATGAGTCCTCGGTCTTGACTCCTGTGATTGACAGGGCGGGTGGTCACCCTGAAGGTGGAGAGGGACGCCTTCGTGGGCTGCACACATTCTTTGATCAGGTACAGCCACACACAGGGCACGTTATCTGTTCTTAAATACTAGCCGCTGTTCTCTGGCTGACGGGAACGCAACACCCGGCCTGCGGCGGCTCGTGCCCTCGTGAAGCTGGGCAGCAGCGAAGGATGACAGACATTGGGCAGGATTGTGTAAAATGGTGCTAGGAACCCAGCAGGAAAACGAGGAGGAGGCTGAAATTCTTGCTAAGGACGTGAGAACCTTCGGTGGGTGGCAGCCGTGGGCGGGTTTTGAGCAGAGCGGCCACGAGGGGGACGAACAGTAGGGGGCGAGAGGACTGCGGGCAAGGAGAGTTGGTGATTTAAGGCAGCAAACACCTTCTGCGGGACTGGCAGCGGGGCGTGAGGCGCTCCGAGTCCTCCTGGGCAAGGGGTTGTATTTTGAGGGCAGGCAGGAAGGCTCAGGAGTGCCCAGTGGGCTGGGGCGAACGGCAGTCCTCGTTCGGGATTTTTCCTGCTCGGCTCTTCGGTTCCCTAGATTGCAGACGTCTCATTACTGGCACGGATTAGGGCCGCCCAGGGTGGGCCAGGTTCGGGTGGCGGGAGGGGGGGGGGGGGGCGCACCCACCGCAGACTGCAGCAAGGGGCTCTGAGCGGGAGGGGGGCGGGGCTTGCTCTGCAGACCTAGAGGTGTGTGGGCTCCGCCCCCATGCTCAGGCTCCGCCTCCAGAAAGGTCTGATTGGATTACAGCCGCGGAAGGGCAGGGCGTCCCCGGGCAGCCCTGGGGGTCGGGCAGAGGCAAGCACGCTGATTGGCCCTGCCGGGGATTAGGTCATCGCTAGCAGGTTCGGGCGGCCCGGACGCCGGCAGGGCGGCCGAGGCTTCTGTGAGAAGGCGCTCGAGGGTGCTGGGGAGCGGAGCCGCAGAGGAGGCGGGAGGCGGTGGCCGCGTTCCTTCGCTTCCCGGCGCCTCCGAGGGTCCGCCGCCGCGCCTGCAGCCCGCGTGCCGTCCGGCTGAGTCCCGGCTGCGGTCTCGAGCCTGCCGCTGCCCCTGACCCCCAGCTCGCGGGGCGAGCCGGCGCCACACCTGTGGATCGGCCGTCGTCGCGGTTGTCCGCCGGGCAGCGCGCGAGGCGCGTCCTCTCGGCTGGGCTCTGCGGGCAGGATGGGGCTCCCGGCGCTTGAGTTCAGCGACTGCTGCCTCGACAGCCCGCACTTCCGAGAGACGCTCAAGTCCCACGAAGCAGAGCTGGACAAGACCAACAAATTCATCAAGGAGCTCATCAAGGACGGGAAGTCGCTCATTAGCGCGCTCAAGAGTGAGTGTCGCGAGCGGCACCGGGAGGGCTCGGGGCGGCGGCTCCGGGTTGCCCGCGCGCTGCCGCCGGCTTTCATCCACCCTCCCCCCCCTCCGCCCCGGCCCCGTGCTGAGTGACGGGTGTCGATGCTCGTCCGAGGCAAGAAGGATATGAGAAAAGAGCGAGCCAGTTGCCTAGGAGGAGTCTGGTCGCCCAGCCCTCGGCATTCGGGGACCGCCGGAAGGTGGCCTATGGGGTGGCACTCTAGGCTGGGTGGGTGTGTGCGACACAGGTGTCTCTGCCCTGAGGCCAGAGCGCCCAGCCTGGGGCAGCCTGCTGGGAAACCCGTCGCTTCTACGCTTCCACCGCGGCTCGGTGTTTTTAGGGGGCGAGTTGCTCGCCCCGGAAGCCTAGTCCGTTGTCCAGGCTTGGGAATGGAGCGTGCCGAGGGGGGCGCTGCCCATCCCTGGGAAAAGGGGGGTGGTGACCGCTTTGAGCTCTGCGTGAGCCCTGCGCGCAGCTCCAGCCTGGTCCGGACTGCCAGGTTCTCTAGCGTTGGAGTGATTGGTTAGCTGTGTTCCTCGGAGCACTGACAGTAGTCCCTAGACATAGATCAGAGCGGTGTACGTGTGCAGGTTTTGATTCTTGTGCTCAGCAGAAGGTGACAGGGGTGGGAGTATAGAACCAGAGTGTTCCTTTACTCTAAACTGTGGGCGAAGGTTTAAAAATAGAACGAACACATCCGTCTTTCTCCTTCTCCCGCTCCCTTGCTCCACCCGCCGCCCCCCCCAACCCCCTTCGTCTATCCTTGAAAATTCAAAAGGCTGAGAGGGAATTAATGTCCTCAGTCTTCGTTCAGAAAAGACAAGTTTAAGCTTATCTTAAAGGTTCCTGAGATTCTGCGAAGCCATTTTAAATGTTTCCCCCTTTTGGTGTAAGGTGTATGTGTGTGCTAAAATTTTCATGCTACCTAACTTTTGCAGAGCAAGCCCAGAGTTTTCTCCTCGTGGCCAAATTAGAGCATTCTAGGACTGAGCACCTTGCAGGGCCAGAAGGGGACCTTTTCACTGGGTTCATTTTAAAAATAGTTCAGGCGATCTTTTCATTTTGATACTCAGGAAGTGGAGGCAGATAGTGCAATTGTCTTGACTCCTTACTTTTCCTGTCTCTGTGATGGGTTTCCTAATAGATGGTATCTTTCAGCTAAGAATGGTTGCCTCACCAGAATAGGATCCTAGCTGTGAGAATGCTCCCCAGAAGAGTTCTTTAAAGAAAGGTTTAAGGGCCAAGATGCCATTTAGTAAGCCTGATGCTTTTAAAATTTAGGAGAGAGGATGGAATGTCAGGGAAAGTGCCAGTCTTCTGGGGGTGAAATAAAAGCACAGGGCAGACATCAGGAGGTTCTCCAGGGCAGGATCTTTGCAGGAGCCTGTGGCTTACCTGAGGGGGAGGAGCAGACGCTTCTGTCAAAGATGAGGGAGCAAGCGACCTGGAGCCCATGATTCTCCTGCCTCAGCCTCCCGAGAGTGCTGTGATTAAAGGCATCTTCCATACCATCATGGCAGACCTCAGGCTAGCTTCAATTGACTCTCTGCTTCACTCTGCAAACATGAAATGCCTTCTGTTTGCTGGGCGTTGCATTGAATACCAGGATGTAGCAGTGATATTTGGCTGCCCTGTGACTACAGAGGCACAATACTCGGTGGCAGCCATGGCTTATTTGTGTGTTAATCTCATGTATCTCTTGATTTTGCAAATGAGAACATAGGCTTGGAGAATCACTAACCCAGAGTTTTTGAAGCTGCATGGTCTGAGATAAAAAATGTAATTCTCGACAGTGTAGAACTCTCAGTCTGTTATATCCTTCTTGCCCAGAATGGAACCTGCAGGACCAAACCTGTTGGAATTTGGACTTGCATTTTGTATATGAACATTGACTCTGAGGAAGGTGTGTTGGGTGGCTGGCAATTCGCCTTCTACTATTTCTGAGGCACATGGATTCATTGGATAGTAAGAATCATTGCACTGTTGGGCTGTGGCTTGGTGGAAATACTGATGGTAAGCTCGGTATGTTGGTCTTTCTTCATCCAGCTTTAGGACTAACTGTGCCCCTCTGCCACTGTTACCACTTTAACAGAGAGTGGGACTGATGCGACCTCTTTGATTTCTTAAAACGAGTTTTCACATCATTTTAGGTATTGTGTGCCTTCTGCTTTGTACACCATAGTAGTTCCTGTATACTGGTTTTCTTCAACCAGATCATGTGTGTCAATGAAAACTCAGTGTTTGTCCAGTACAGCTTAAAAACAGATACATAGTTCTGTCCAGTTATAAAGTTAGCACTGGTTTTGTTTTGTAACCAGTACTTCTACAGATCTCTGTCTGGATTCAGATTTCCTTTGTCTGTGTATATAATCAGAGATGATAAAAATGACCTCCAGGGGTTGCCAGAGTTTATCTACATCATTTTAATGTTATTTCTACTTTGTGAATGATGACACCATGCACCCAAGAAGTTGGTAACCTGTCCAAGGTAAGTTCAAGGTATTCAACTACAAGTTGTCAAATTCCAAAGACGTTGCACAAAGCAACATTATCCTCTAGGTTGGCCTAAACCAGAGCTTCCTCTCTTGAATCTGCTTGAGTATCTGCCTAAATCTCCACAAAATAATTCCATAAAAATGAACCCCCTGAGCTCTGTCTGGTTTCTCCATCCCTGCTACGGACACAGAATATAAGCAACAAGGCATGTCAGGTCACACATTAAAAAAAAAGAAAGAAAAAAGAAAATTTTACTCCTTAGAGAGTTTTCATTTGGTGTGCAGTTGAGCCTGGTCAATTCCCAGTCATTGCTGATGGTGATTTGTTCTGACCTTTCCTGAGTGGTACTCAGTCACCCAGGACCCCTGCCTCTCACTAGCTGATCATTCTCTCAGTCAAGATGGTTTTGTGTGCTTAGGTCTTGCTCTTCTTTCCATCTTGTAGAAGTGACAGAGGATAGGTGAGCTTTGGAGCTTTCTGGGCCCAAATCTTGACCCCAGTGCTTATTAATTGTTTGACTCTGGGCACCTTACTAAGTCTGAGCTCCTCCTTTGTAACTGGATATAGCCACACTGACCTCTCTGAGACCAAAAGACACAGTGAATGTTAAAACAACAAAATAAAACTACCACCCCCAGCAGCAACACTTGGAGCAGGGCCCTTGGCACCTCTCAGTTAATTTCACCAAGACTACAATATGACTTGGTGTTTCTGAAAACGAAAGGGGCGGAGGTTCCTGTTGTCAGCTCTTGGGATCTCTAACAGTTGTGTGCGTTAGCCACTGATGGGCACAGTGGTAGAACTCTGACAGTGGTGTTTGTATCAAGTGTGGCTATTCCAAGGAGAGGGAAACGTAAGTCTCCCAGTGTCTCTTCTGTTCCTATTCGTTGTTGGGTGAGGTTTCCCTCTCAGAGAAAGAGGCTGCCTGCCTGCCTGCCTTACCATCTGCATAACACGCTTGCTGAATGTAATGGTGTCTTAGTTAGGATTTGTATTTCAGAGAGACACCATACCCAAAAGGCAAGTTGGGAAGGGAAAGGTTTATTTGGCTTACACTTAAGCATTGCTTTTCATCCCTGAAGGAATTGAAGGACAGGAACTCAAACAGGGCAGGATCCTGGAGGCAGGGGCTGATGGTGCTGCTCACTGGCTTGCTCCCCATGGCTTGCTTAGCCCACCTTCTTATAGAACTCAGGACCACCAGCCCAGTGATAGCACCACTCACCATGGTCTGGGCCCTCCCACATCAGTCACTAACTGAGAAAATGTCTTACAGCTGGATCTCATGGAGGCATTTCCTCAGCTGAGGCTCCTTCCTCTCTGATGACTCTAGCTCGTGTCAAGTTGACACACAAAACCACCTAGTACAAATGGTCTTCGTGTGTGACTCTTGTGGACTTGATGACAAACTGAACGTGGTTTTAGAGACATGAAAGGCTGTTAGCCTGTGGGGTTTGGGCTTTGGGGAACCATGTTTCCATGTGTTGACAGTCAATTTCTGGATTTGTTGCTGGGGAATGCCCCTCTGAATTTGACTTCTGCTTTCTGAAATAGAGAATCCTTATTCTGACAGACCAAATGAGTGGGGCAGAAATGCAGTTTTTAAGATAGTGATATCACTGAGATGTAATTCACAGTGTCTTATATAGCTTGCTCATTCAGAACATCTAATTTAGTGGTATAGTGTATTTTCAGTCTGCAGGCACCATTGTCAGCCAGAGAACATTTTTGTCATTTCCAATAGAGTCTGTTCTCATTACCAATCATCTGCTATTTCCTCCCAACCTCTGCAGCCCTGGCAAACCACTGTGCTTTCTGCCTCTGTATATTTGCCTAGTCTGGACAGTACAACTGCAGTTATTCAGGTGGCAGTAATCAACTTTGGTGATCACTTAGTTCATGAACTGAATTTCAGATGGAGAAATGTTGAGTCAATAAGCCTTTCATTCTTTACAATATGGGGGTTCAAGTAGAGGTGAGGGCACATTAATTTATTTCCCAGGGTCTGGAAAGTGTGTTCTTGTGTTTTCTGTTCATGGAGGGGTATAGATTCTACCAAGTTTGATGGATGCAGATGGAATAACCAAAGCAAAACTAAGATCCAGATCCTCTAGTTAACTTAGGTTGAGTACATAATAGTGAATAAAGTCATACTTCAGATTGCTCTTCTGTGGGGTGATAACATTATTACTAAATGAAATGAAAGCTCTATGTTGTATTAGCTGATTCTTTGCTTTTTATGGATGATGTGCCCTTTTCATTGCATTCCCAGATGTTCCTGATGTTGACATCACTGTTGTTTTGCTTTTCTCATATTCTCAAGGTGACTTTTAACATAAACAAATAGCCCAGTCAGAAAGCCAGCATCTTTCATTTTATTGAGCCTTAGTAAGTGCCAGTCCTTATGCCAAGGACCCCATATTGTACCATTCTGTAAGACTTCTAAGATCCATCTTGGATACCCAAATCCTCAGATGCTC